GCTCGGTCGCGTTTCTCGCCCGCCTGTCACTTCTCTGAGTGCCAGGGTGGAAAAGCATCCATCCCCCCCGTTCTCTGCCATGTTCGGCTCTCCTCCCTGCCTTCTGCTTGCAGCACTCGCTCTCCGCTCTGCCTCGCAGCAGGTGTTAAGTTATGGCAACGTGATGAAGCGTGTTGCTGGTTTCCAGTCTGTCAGCCCTTTCTTTCAGGGAAGATGGTTTTTGTCAGGGAGAAGCGTTGGCGCCTGTGACTGGAACGAGCGAGCAAAGGCCCGGCGTGTTTGACGGGGACACGTAGAAATTGGGGGTTACTCGAGCCGACTGCTCCGCTCCCCGGTGCTGCCCGAAGGCTCCGGCAGAGCAGCGTGGTCGGAAGCTCTGCACGGCTCAGCCATGCTGGGGCTGCTCTCAGCTCTCCTGACCGTTACTGGTAAACTGGTACAGCTCCTTCAACTACAATGTGCTAAACCCACAGCTATAAGTGGATTAGAGTTCATTTTTAATAACCCCAGATGACAGTTATTGTTTGTCACATAAATGATCAGAAATGGGTGTCTCTTGATCTGTTTCTGTAAAAGTTTTTTTTTTTTTTTTAACATCAGTGCTTGCTTAGAAAAATGTAGGAAGTTAAAGTTTAAAAGCTGCTCTGGTTACTTCAAATGTATCTATTTTAATTAACGGAAGTGCAATGTAAAAAGCTGTCTACACTACAGAACAGTTTGAACATCCGCCCTAGCTAGTATGATGTTTTTTTTGCAGAGACTTAAAGGGATGTAGAGATGTGCTCAGCACGAGGATAATGTCTGTGTTTATTTAAAGTTAGAGAAAGATACAAGTTTCCACCATATCTCTGAATTTCTTGGGTTTTTTTGTGGCCCAAACAGACTTTTGTTAAGGCTTTTGTTAACAGAAATAGCACAATTAATATTAAAATTACTGATAAGATAATAAAAGATTATGTAAACTCCAGTGAGTTTACATAAGTGAACAAAAGTGAGAACATTTCTTGTGTGTAACTCCAGGTGGAAAGTTTAGTAGATTTCTGCTTTCTGTGACTTCTAGAATTTCACTGTCTGGCTCGTCTTTTCAGCTGGAATGTTTTATTCCTATTCTTTGCACAACTGACAGTAGTGGAAGCTCAGAAACACAAGAGGTGGGAAGCTTGTCAGGTATTCTGCTTCAGGGAACCCATATGAATATAATGCTGCTGCTTTAATGATTTCTGTATTGTACTTCCTGCTTGTCTGTCTTGTCCTTTGGTCTTTATTTTTGGTTCTTGCTTCTTGCCATTCTTTTCTTTTAGTTTCTGTTTTCCCATAGGCTCTGTGTGGTGGTTGGTGTCTGTATCAATGTACTGCCACTGACCATGGCTGAATGTGACCTCGGCTGCAAACTGCTGCTCCAGACTGGAACTGGGTTTTTTGCAACTGTTCTTTCATGAGACCATTTTGTTTCTCATTCTTGAGAAATTCTGGAGGACATAGAAAGTTATCAAATAGGAAGTAATCAAAACAGCAAAGCTGATGTCTCTCCTGGTTGTGGGAAAAGCCTGGTAGCTGTCATTTGGTTCGGAGGTGCCAAGATGTAAATTTCCCTTTTGATCCCAGTAACCGCTTTCCCAGCTGAAAACCTCGCCCTGGGAATTATTTAGCAATCCAAATGAATGGCACAGTAAGTTTCCTTCACAGAGTTCAAGCCAAATGAACCGCTTCTGTTTTTTTCTGGCTTTCCCATAACTCTGCCCAACAGTTAAGAAAAAGGGCACCTAGAAAACTTTATAACATACCCCTAGTCTGTCACCTGTTCTTATTTTGGCAAAATTTTGTTTTGACAAGAGGCAAGAAAACTAGCAGGGAATGGCTGTTCTTTCTTTTGGGCCTCTGACACTTTTGAGAGCTGAGTGCTTCAGAAAATGCTGGTTTACAGCTCTTGTGGTTTGATTTGTCGGTCTCAAGTGAGACCGAAAGTGAGGAGAAGAGATACTGGAAACTCTAAGCTTATTCATTTGTTGGGGAAAGTACCTAGTGTGAAACTTAGACTTTATTTTTAAAAACCGTTCTTGACTGCTGACTTCTTAGTGTGAAAGAGTTTGAAAATGAGAGCGAAGAACTTGCAGCAGCAGCCAATGGATGTTTTACGTTTGCAGAGGTAAAAGAGCATTTTTGGGGGTATCTGCCAGGCCTGGTGTGCGAAACTGCCTATAACTCTGTCCTCCTGATAGCAAACTGGGACTGTCTAACAGTCCTCAGAAGAAAGTAACGTGGATCTGAGTCAGCTCATTCCACTCTATCATGCCCCTTGTCTTCATGCTATTTATTTCCATTTAAAGGACATAGGGGCCCCTCATCAGCCGTGTGAGGGAACCTCTGCTTGGGAGCTCATGTTCTGTTCTGGCTGTTGGGAAGATTCAAGTAGGAAACATGAAAAAAGATTGTAGAATGGTAGTACAGACCCAGGCGTTTCCATACAGGGCATCTTCAAACACTGCATTCAGTTGTGGTGGTAATACTTATGCAGAGTATATTCATGTCCTTTCTTTGGAGCAAAACAAAATTTTCATGAAATTAAATTTGTGACTTAATCACTAGTTAGTTTCTTCTCAGTCTTTGTGACTGTATTACTATGGTTACAGGAATAGTGGTGCTTTAATACTGTAAGAGAAAATGTTGTGTCTCCATGCTTGCTGTGATCCAAGGTTTGTCCCAAACAGACGTGCTGCTCTGCCACAGAGCAAGAGCTAACGGAGCAGAGTTGTTTCCTGGTGCAGGATGGTTGTGTTGCTCCCAGGTACGCTTACTGACCCATTGGAGCGAGCTAGCGCCGTGAAACAAAGGAAATAATTACATGGCATGTTCATGTTGTTATGATCATATAACAAATGTTACTGTACGTTAATTATGTAATAAAATCAGTGTTGTTAAGGCCTTTTGAACATCGTGTTGATGCTTATTAGCACAAACCTGCAGCTCAGGCCTGTTTCTTCTCAAGCCACAGCATATGTACAGTGCTATTTAGTTGCCCTCCTTCCCTTGTGTGCTACTAAAAGTTCAGTCCTGCAACCCCTTAGAAGGAGAGAGAAGTTGCTGCCCTTGCTCTGTGGTAGTACCCTGGAGTCCTCTGTGGTGGGTGACACCAGGAGCAGTTGTTCTCTCTGGTTTGCAGGGCCTGGCCCCAGCCTGAGGTCTGTAGCAGTCTGTGCGCCTGCTGAAATTGCTGTCTGCATTTAGCTCTTGGAGCTCTGGCTTCAGGAAGGAGAAACTCCAAACTGTGGACATCCAGACACCAAGGAAGGACTGCTGTAGGCATCTGGGCTGCTGCAGTCTGGTGATAGTTCAGATCCACCATTGACTGAAAAGCGTGACTGGGCTTGTACTGGCAAGCTAAGGGATCTTTTTTAGCTTTTCTGTTTCCACCTCTTTAGTGCTGGGTGCTTTTTTCCTCTTGGGCTGGTTTAAGTTATACCAGAAGGTGCTCGGGGCAAAGGTCATTGTTCTGTGAGGTGTTTGGATGTGTTGAAGACAATGGGGGCCCACGCTCCTACATGTTACCCTGAGACATAAATAGTGTTAATTGTCAGCAGCTTCCCAAGTGACTGTTGGGAACAGGGACAGTTCCTCTTCCTCTCTTCTTCTATTGTTCATTTGTTAATGATGTTTTTTACTAAACGCTTGCCAACAGATTGACTATAAAAAGATTTAGGACTTAACACATGCAAAATAAAGCCAAAATGAGTGCTTGGGCTGGGATGTTGTAAATTAAGTTTTCGTAACCTTTTAAACCTTTCTAATTCTTTTAAACATTTGTCATTTTATTAATAGGCTGTCTTTGTAGATTATAGAATGCTGCTAAAATGAGAGCAGATAGTGAAATATGCTGTAATTGTTAGAGAAGTGCCTTAAAGAATGTATGGGGAAACTAATATGGAACTACATGTTAACACTGACCTCTGGAGCAACAATGACACAGGAGAAATTTTTTTTGGCAATAACTACTCTTACCAGATCACTCTAATGGTGTATACTGTGAGAGGAGACTTCTGAGAAAGTGAAGAGTATTTGGAAACTAATTTGCAAGTCAGATGTGTGTTGCAAGCATCACCTCATCCTGTTTTGATTTTACCAGTAGACCTTTTTGAAAACTTCATTGCCTTTGATTAGTCAAGGTAATCATGTTAGCTTTAGTGGTTTATTTTAAAGGTGACATTTACCTGGGAGGAACAAACTTTGCTTTATGTAGGGGAGACATATTTAAAGGTAATAATCCCATTAGTTATTTTCCAGCATTAAAGCAGGTAAAGTGACTAGCTGTGATGATGAATGTTTTAGTGTAATTGTTCTTCTGTCTTCCCCAATTAAAAAGAAGACAACCTAGAACAGATTGGCAGTTGTTTCTTTTGGTAGCATATTTGACAGATACTAAACTAATATTGTGTTTTGACTTTTTTTTTTTTTGTAGCTACAGTGAAGGATAATAGTTGATGACATGACTTGCGTTATCTAAGCAGAGTTCTTGTTGTAAGACTGGAATGCGTTTATAACAACACCCCAGCAAACACCTAGAAATGGTTAACTACTGACTGCCATCCTGTGCCACTGGAACCTGTATCAACATTATTTTTCTGTCTTTACACAGTGAATCTCTTCCTGACTGGGAAAATAGAAAGTGCTGTTACCTCATTAGGTAAGACCTACTTTTCTTATTTGTATTTACTGTTCTTTTGAGTTGTTACCGTTTCTTCCCCAACAAAGAGATCTTTTGACAAAACAGTATGATCTTTGTTTGAGAGAGAGTAACAATAACACTTTAGGAAGTTTAGTACTTCTAAGTCTTCCTGGGATTATAGACTCTATCAATGTTGCTGTGCTAGGAAAAAATCACAAGCTTGAGGCTAAGGTCATAGTACATGCTGACATGTTCAGGGGAAAACTATGTTTAGGAAATGTGCCTGGGAATACGAAGCCAGGGACAGTGGCCCATTCCCGGGGGAGCTAATACAAAAATGTTAAAAATGCCTCATGAATGTCAAAGTGGAAATTCAACTAGAATCACAGCACTTAGTGTAATTTCCTCCTCTATAGCAGTACTGTGACTTACTGACATTATGGGAACATTGCAATCAGAGTCCTCTTAGTGATAAGGGCCCTCTTGTGCCTGTCAATCCACAGTCACTTTGGTAGGCACACTTTATGCCCAAAGAGGTTGCAACTTAAATTAAAACAGAAAAAACAAATAAGGGAAACAGGAGGAAAGGAAATGGAAAAACACAAAAAATAATTCTAAGGCAGTGGGCTGGTTAATGTGAGAGCTTGAGCATTCAAGTCAACATGAGGGTTTGAGAGGTTTAAATCAGGAAAAGGTAGTAATTGTATTATTAGGTAACTTCCTTAAATTTAGTTTAGGGGAAGTGTGGATGAACCATATAGGACGTGTTGTTTGCAACGTGGTATTTCCATTCTTTCACTGGAAAAAATCCAGAATGTCATCTGTGTCCTAGTCTGTTCTGCCTGGATGGTTCTTTGGCTTTTGGAGGAGTTTGCCATCCATTGGCTGTATGGTAGATGAGTTTACAAAGTGTAACTTGAGTAATTATACAGTGACCAGCCTAGACTAGATACTCTCCTGGCCTGAGATATGTAGTGCTTCATCCAGTTGGCTCTACTGCTTTCCAGTGTTGTTCTTTTGCTAGAAATAGAGAGTTGTAACATTTAGCTTTCTTTCAAGTATGCTGAAAACCTCAGAGTACTGTAGCCTTCGTGTTTTCTTGTCTCGATATAGTTTTGAGTTACTTTGTCTTCTGACAGCATAACTGGAGCAGGGGAAAAATGATCATAAAAGGTCATTGCAATAGTGTGATCTATGTGTAGCTTCTCTTACTTTTGCATTGGAAGACAACAGGTTAGGATAGTCCAATCATAAGGCAGATGACCCTGCCAGGAGTAGTCTTGCAGGAGATGTTCCTTAGGAGCCCTGATAAAAGTTGTAAGGCATGCTTGCTGTCCTAAACACACCCTGACAAAGCAGCTTATTACAGAGTTAATCTCTATGATCAGGTAGAGAGCAGTTTCTCTTCAGAAAGTGAGTAACAGCAGAAATAATGAGTTCTGGAGAATGCGGGTCAAACCACCATCTGGGCTGTATTTGTACAAGGACTTTAAGCCAGAAAAGCTGCTGCTGCTGACAGGGAGCAGTCCACCCCTGAGCCCCCTTCCCTGGGCTTGCAATGAGCCAGTTCAGCCTGTTGATCCAATGGAGCACCAGCTGAGGTTTTGTCAGACCAGTGAGCTGAACCCTTGGGCTGTGCCTTTGCCGGTTCTGATCCCGTGGGCAGAAGCAGCCTGCTGTAGGCTGGATGAAGTGAAGGGAAGCCTTAACTCCTTTTTTTTTTTTTTTTTTT